ATTAATCTGATGAATAAAGGGGCATAGTCATATTAAGCATAAACTCAGATGGACATAAAAGAGGAGAATACATTGTTTTCTAGCAGACCAAATAAAGACCATATCTTGTATCAGATCTTGTAATTTGTTCCATATGCATATGGTAGAACAAATTCCTGCAAATTGCTTATAATATATATGCTAGTAAGTATTGAAGTATTCATCATGAAGTATTGAGAAAAGAAAAAGAATTCACATTGAATGTTGTTTTGAATTTTTGATGCTATGTTTGACACACATCACATCACAAAATTTTAAATTTTATTGTGTTATATCCACTTGACAATTTAAAAAAGAAAAAAAAATATGAGACATGTTGGTGAAAATGAATTTCACTCGAGCTCCTTCAACTCGAACGGTCTCCGTACCTGCAAGAACCCAACGTCGGGAGGGGTCCCGGCGTCGGGCCTCCAACCCTCAAGTCAATATCACTCTAGAACCCTAAATCTCAAGATAGTAAGTATGAATGTAAAGAGAATGAGAGAATGAGATACCTTAATCCTTTTTATAGATGAAGTGTACCTTATGGCCCAAGGTGGGCTTGTCCAATGACATCATGCCACGTGTTTTAGTTCATGTGTAGGTTTATTCTCCAATATATTCTTTTTTTATACATTAAAACCGGTCTAGTGTAATATCCTATAACAAGACAAAATATGAATTGAATTCTCATATCTTTTTCTCTAGATCAATATTTATTTTTAGTCTTGTTGGTTTAACGTCAGAACGGTTTTAGTCTCAAGATTCTAACATTTTGATTTTTGATTCTCTAATTTAGTATTTGCTGCAATTTCAGTCATTTAGGGATTGAAATTTCAACAATATTTAAAATTACAGGATTTAAATTGCTAATAAAAAATTAAACCCAATGATTAGCAATTTAAGTCTTATAACTTAAAATTTTGTTGCAATTTTAATCCTCAAATGATTGAAATTTCGTTAAATTTTTTAATCATAACACCAAATAACAAAATGCTCATATCTTAGGATTAAGAACACCACTTATCACAATATTAGGGCTAAAATTACAATTTTACCTATATAGTAATACAATATGTGCAATATAAGAATTTATTCACATTCAACGGCATAATGTATTTTATATAAAATGATAAGATAAATAATAAGCTAGTACGTTTCTAGTTCGCCCTACATTATTAATTGTTTCTGAGTGGAAAACATTAATTGAATAGTATTATATAAGAAAAATATCTAAAATATATAAGTTAAATTGTCGAAAAAAAAAAAGAAAGAAAACGAGTTCTAAAAGTATTGTAAAATCCAAACAGCATCTTTCATTTCTTGTTGGAAACAGGGATGTCCAATATGCCATCATCATTAATGAAATTTGTTTCTTCTGTTCTCTTGGATAACATGCGTGTCCCCACATTGCTGATATGCATTTCTAGTTTACTCTTTATGAATCCAAATTGGACCTTGAAAATGTGAAATGTTATAAATAGGGATGCAAACGAATCGAACAGTTCGTGAGTCGATAGGAGTTCGAGTTTGACCGAGCTTGAGTCGAGCTCGATTGACTCGAGCACGAACTCGAGTCGAGCTCGACCCCATATTTTACATTGTCGAGCGGCTCGACATACATGTTAAATTATTAAATACCTCTTATATATATTAGCATAAGTACATAATGGTAATTTTACTTTTTCATTTAAAAATTTTCAAGTTGAACTCAAGCTGAGCTCGAGCATTTTGATGTCGAGTCGAGTCTAGCTATTGTAATTTTTTATCGAGTCGAGCTCGAGTCTCATAAATCGAGCTAGCTCGGGCAGCTAACAAAAAAAATCAATCCTGCTCGATAAGGGCAATGCTCGACTCGATTCGACTCGTTTGCAGCCCTAATTGTGAGAAATTAAGAGTGAAGTATGTGATGCAGATGACAACAACCCTGATCTTTGGGATTTTTAGTTTAGTTATTTATTATTTATTCTATTTATTTATTGTTAATATTTTAATTCTAAATTTATTAGTAAAATTAATATTGAAATATAGTTTACTTGTTAGACAAGATTAGGGCTTCTTATAAGTTCTATCTAAAGGCTCCTATTCAATTGTGTTTCAATTGATAAAGTTTATGAAATAAGACTTTTCTTGAGACATTTATCTTTTGTTTTTCCTTTCATACGTTTTCGCTACGTCAGTACGAGTATGTAATGTGCATTTAAACGCGAAATTAAAATCGGAAGCAACGTATAAATTAAAACATCTTCGGGAGGCGTCCCACTATCCCTCGAAGCTCTTTCATTAATAGATCAGTTTGCACGCACAATGCGACATCTTCAGGAGGCGTCCCACTAACCGAAATACAAAGCCCCGCCTGTTCATTTATAGCCAGTGGTGGAACTACACAGGGACCCGTAGGGGCAGGAGCCCTGTAGAATTTTGTGTAATAAATTAATAATATATATATATATATATATATATATATATATATGTTTATATATGTATGAATGTATTATTATCTTGACATAAAATACATGTTATTAATTATTATGCAAAATTATTTCAATATAAAAAATAAAAATAAAATGTTTAGGATTACTTAAACTTCAATAGTATGTTATTTTTGAAGTTGTGGAATTTATGCTTATATTATATTCAACTTATTGTTTATTTATTTTTATCTCCTAAAATAGATATAAAACAAATATTATACATAAATATATACTATATGGGAATTAGATTAAATGCGTATATTCTTAAACGGGATTTAGAGACTCAACTAGCTATTAGATAAGAAATAAGAAACAAGGTGTTTGGTCAAAAGTTAACCTTCTCATTTTTTTAGTTGGTTAAATATCGATTGACAGTTGACTTCCGGCGTTGACCGTAATTTGTGCCCCCGTTCTTAAAATCTACATCCACCCCTGTTTATAGCGCCAGATTTGAGTTTGAAATACTAAGGAGGCAATTGGATATAGTTTCAACAATAAAAAACCTAAGCAAAACACAATTTTAACCCAACCACATTATCTCCAATATTATCAATATAATTAAATAATATTAAACAATCATTCTTACACATTACATCAACTTTAATTCACTGTTCATCCATTCATATAATTTGAACTAACCAACAATGTCAATCATTTTTACCCTACTTTACATCAAATCAACCTTAATTATTTTATTTAACTATTATTTTCATATATCCACTAACAACTAACTATACTAACTTTTTTTTTTCAAAATTAACTATAGTTAAAAAAACAAACCAAATAAAAACTAGTTGAATCCATAAACAATCACACCCTAAAGAAAACGACATCATTTCACTTATTGCGAAAAACGCAAAGACAAGATAAAATAAAAGACAAATGCGACTTTGCTAAAAAGACAAAACAAAGGAAATGAAGCTGCATGGCCCAAAGCTCAGTCCTACTGCAAGCACGATGATCATACGTGATGTTCAACAATCTGAACGCCAACCTTGAAGTTTAATTGCACTAAAGAGCTGCCACAGCTGCTTGCAGAGAGTCGTGTACTGAATGCATAGTTTTATAGAGGCCTGCAAAGAAAATAAAAACATAATATAATTAAGTATTGGACAAATCTGGAAACAAAGTAAAACACACACACACACACACACCACGTACATTTCACTTTACATGTTTTAGAAGATCTATAAGTGACGAGAATAAGTCCACCGTGGAATATTGACCAATTCTGGTGGTGGAATCTTGAACAATTCTGGTGGTAGCACTTGGTAAAAGCTGAGACAAAGCTCGACGAGCACCAAATTTAACTAGTGGAGATCTGTAAAAGACGGAATAATGAGCGAGTGACATCATGTTAGGGAGTTTAAAAACCCAAAAAACCCAAGATCTTACACATCCATTCCAACTGTCTTAATAGCAGCACGTATGAAGTCATCTGTTACTTGGTTGCTCATCTGTCCCACATAATTAAAACCAAATTAGATCTTGCAGGAAGATGAAAGAGCTGTGTTTAGGATGTTCAGTTTTCACTAATTAGCATGGAAGAAATCTTGCAACAGTCGAATATAAGCGGGCACAAAGAAGGGGGTAGTCATGGAAGCCTGTAAATAAACAAGGATCCTTGTAATAAATAAAATAAAATATAGATTGAACTAGCAGGAAAAGAATTTTCAATACATCTTATAGTG